TTTACATTTTAAATGAGATTCAGTGATTATCATTATTAATATTAATATGGCATCACTCGTACAAGGCGTCTGGCTCCCACATCTCGTATTTATGTTTATTTATTCTACTGTGGAGTGTATTTATCATCTTTATACATTATGAATCATGTTTATTATATAATTTTGAAAAAATATCATAGATGGACTAATGAAAATATGTATATTAACGTAATATACAACATTTAATGAGTCGTCGTCGTCACTAATATATAGTGTCTCAAGACATAAGACACTCTTACTGATTTTAATATGTACCTGCACACCAGCACAGTGTGTAAGTTTATTTATGTACAGGTATACATAAGTATAACTATCAGAGTATATATAAAATAACTTTTAAAAACACTTGAAATTTTGGAGTTCCAGACATAATGGAGAGACTTGGTGCTTATAGATCTCGTAGAGAATGTAAACAAACTGGGTGGGGCACGATGACCGTATTAGAAAGTCAGGTGGGGGAGCTGTATAGAGTTTTGGTCATAATTTGAAATGACTGTATTAGCGGAACGCCGTAAAGTTAAACGCCGTAAAGCGGGGCCCTACTGTATTAGGATTAGTCTGCCCAAAATGCCTCGGCATGATAATGGCTATCTTTGTACTTAGCAAATCTAAATTGTAATTACACATTGTAACCTTTACAAGGAAATAAACTTTACTTTAGATATACAAGATTTTCAACCAATGAACTATAATTGTACAAGTAATTGAAATACATGTACCTCCTTATTTCTAGATGGTGAGAGGGGATCAGGAGTTGCCTTGGCACCAACTTCTGTGTCTTGGACGACAGCAGCACCAGCCACCACTGAAGAATTACCAGAGGCTCCAGAGTTTCCCCCGTCCACTCCACTGCTGCTACTCTTTCTCTGAGATAAATAATATTGTAATGCTTCCTCCTCCGACATTTACTTAATAATAAGTTTTTTATCCTACCCGTTTCAATATTTTCTCATAATAATGCTACTATACAATCCATACTCCTAATTTTTTTTTTTAATATGCCAGCAGTCTCCCATCAAAGCGGGGTGACTCGAAAAAGAAAATTTCACCATCATTTAAACCATCATTGTCTTGTCAGTCATACAGATATGACAGATTAGATGTCCCTCAAACAGCAAATATTCCAAACCTCTCCTCTTTAGAGTGCAGGCACAGTATTCACACCTCCAGGACTCGAGTCCAGCTAACCAGCTTCATGACTACCATCAGAAATTATTACCTTGCTCCTAATAACACCATAAAAGTTAAAACATATTTGATTATTTTCTCTAAATGTGGAACCTACTGTAAAGGCATGATATACTATTGAAAACTGATTGCACACCAAGAATAAATTTCATATATAGTACTAAAAAAAACATTCGTCTTTCTAGTTCACATGGCTAGTTTTAGTATGGCAGGAACCTATAGCTCCTGCTATATACCTTTGATATACTCTCAGTAGTAGCATACCAGTAACCAGTTATCAGTGTCAGTAGTGACTCACTACCAACCGTCTGTGTGAATCACTTGTTATTCACTGTTACAGCTGACCTTAGCATGTTTTCAACCCGCTCACCCCTAGAAACCATCTCGTGAGGCAGCCTATAGATAGGGAGCGGAGACATAGGTCAGGCTGGGCGCTTCCCATATATTCCGTTTTAATTATACTCCATTATTGCCTATGTGAGTATCCTTTACCCAATCTACATTACCGAACCCAATGGGACAAATTGGTGGCATCGTTGTCGGCATGGATTTACGGGCATTTCCGCAGATATCAGGAGTTTAAGCTGCGTGAGAGTGGTGCCGGCGTACCCCAGGCTACCCGTCATCTCCAGCAAGTTTCTTCCCTCACCCGCCTCAACCGGTCGCCCCAGTCTGCAAGCCAGTTGCAGCCGCCTCTCAGTGTGCTTACCACTTCAATCTCCAAGGGGTTGACCTGGATTTGCAATTAAGCCAGCCAGTAATCCAGTCCGTGGGAGTGAGTGCCAGTCAGCCTGCCTCAGCCTATCATCCAGCCTGTCTCCTGTCATCCACCTGTTCCTTCATGCTGTGTGCATCGTTACACATCTTCCAGTCAGCCATTCTCGAGGGTTAAGCAAGTAAGCCAACCCAACTTCCTATCCCAGCTGAGAGAGAGAGAAGTAAGCCACGCAAGCTCCTCTTGAAGTATTGTCTCCAACATTGCTTTGTGCTCCCAGTTGGATGCTGGTATGAGTGGTCTTCACCATCCCTGTGGCATACTGTGGCTTAGTTTAAGCTACCTGGGTTTTCTCGTGAGTGGTGAGTGCGTGTGCCAGTGAGCGCCCGCGAGTTCAATCAGGCTGCTCTCACCACCACCACCCGCCAACTTCACTCCCCACCTCATCTACCTGCGGTGTTCACCTTTCTACTGCTCACACACTGGGTCAAGAGCTGTACTTCACCTGTGTTTCACCTGAGCACCGCCGTTAAAAGCATAAGTGTGTGGGTCTTCGGAAAGCGCTCATTGCAACGACAGCAGTGCAAGTGTAGGACGAATCGCCTGCCCACAGGACCACATCTTCCCCTCACCACCCGTCACCGCTGTCCACCACTGCTTCCAGTCTCCAGTGATAATTTTCTGTTTGGAGACGTTTTTCTTTGCATTTAAAGACATTTGCATGTGTGAGACATTTACAGTGAATTTCTTGTGTACTCAAAGCCTTTTGTTTTCAGTGCAGCCTCAGTGTTTCTTTGACTCATTATTTTTGCATTATTTTTCAGTGTTATCGTTCATCTTTCGTGTTTCATTTTTATATTTTTATCTGTAATTTTTTTAAGCTATTCTCTGCCTGTGGTAAGTATTATTTTCTAGTGTACAAATTTATTCTTTATTTTGTGTGCAGTATTTTATTCCTTACCCCAGCCATTCACTCCGCGTGAAGTAATTCATGCAATTTTTTTTTCTCCTTGTGTTCTTTCAGCAATGTTTTCTCCAGCAATTGTTGTTACTGTAATTCATGCAGTGCTATTCACCACAGTATACTAAATTACCCATTTATTTCTGTGTGTACCATTTTTTTTTCTCTGCCCAGCAGTGTCTCATTCTCTTGATTTTCTCACAGACTTGTTTAATTTTTATGCAAGCAATTCTTACCATATCAGTCGCACCAAGATTTTGTTGCAAGAACAATTAACCGATAAGTGAATAATCCTTGTTGTGTGTGCCGCCACTTGTAAGTGTTGTGTGCGCCGCCACTTGTAAGTGTTGTGTGTGCCGCCACTTGTATGTGTTACACTCCCAGTTTTGTATCTTGTGTCATTTTTGTTCATATTTTTCATATTTCTTTGAACAAATTCACTCTTAGTGTAATTTTAACTTCTTTTTAATGTAAAGTGTTATCTTTACTCTGAGTAAATTGTTTTGCTTAATTTACAATTAAGAGTTTAAGTGTTCAACCAATCTTTCTTCATATTTTTATTTTTATTATTTAACCTGCATTTTCCCAGTGTAACTTTTCTTGCTGCATTGATTATTTCTGCACCTTATTTTATTGCACTTGTTGTGCAGTGAATTATTTTCTTTTTATTGATATTTTTATGCATTGTTATTCTCAGTTCATTATTGTTTGAGAGTCTTGTTTTTTCATTTTATTTTTCCTGATGTTGTCTTTGCATTATATTTTTTGTTTATGTACTCTTAGAAAATATTTAAATTTCCCAGTTATCTCTCTTTGCATACAATTTATGACTTTATTTTATACTTTTTACATTGATTTACAATTTTATTAGTAAATTTCTTTATGGAAGCAAGAGTACAAACAACTCATTTTGCATTTAATTCAGCCTCCAGTAATATTTTTACTTTCTTATAAATTTCAATGTTTTTTTTTTTTTTTATCTTGGCCAGCAGTCCCTTACAATGAGTTGTCCTTCCTCTTGCAGTGTATCTTAGACATTTTTTATTACTTCTGCAGAATTAGTTACATCTCTTTTATTTCTATTTTAGCATTCGTGTCATTTTTATTATGTCTGACATACCTTCAAGTGATACTCTAGTGAATGGCGACACTCAAGACCTCTCGGGCTACTGCTGCTCCTGTCATCAGTCCTCATAGTTTCTTATCGACTGACAGACCAACCCAGAATCTGAGACACTATAGTTTTACTCATGATTCCCTTGATGCGTTACCTTTATTCAATGGCCATGTACATAGTCTTGAAGCATGGTTTACTGCCATTCGTTCTAGTGTTAATGCTCTAGTTGACGGTCCCCCTTCAGAGTAAAGTCTTATCAGACTTGCGAAAGAAGCTCTTCATCGGTCTCCTGCGGCTGTTCACGTTGTTGATCTCCTTGAAATGCGAGACTTCAGGAATCTTACTAAGTGGTCACAATATGAGGAACTGATTTGTTCTTTCCTTGTAGCAGTAAAAACAGCTGATCCATATGTCGTTCTTCGGGAACTCGTGAATGCTACACCCATGAATAATGAATTGTTGAGTGCATTTGCTGTTATATTAGATAAACTTTTATCATCATTTATCAATGCTGTCCAGTCCTCAGCTTTTGTCCCTGACAAGGATAAACGATCCACAGCGTCGTTTGCTAAAATACCAGCCTTTGAAGCAATCAAAGAACTAATGCCGCCTGCTTCTGTGTTTGCTTAAGAGACTAATCCTCCAACTGTGATGATGGAACCACTTACAGCCCTAAATCATGTACGTTCCTTGTGCCCCCAAGGTATCTATCTACCTTCCTGTATATCAAAAGTAATTTCTCACCTATGCCTCAGTCTGCACCACCTCTTGTTTGTGCCACAGTGACAAATCATGGTAGTCAACCATCACAGTGATCACCAAGAACCAGTGTAGAGAGTCATTATCAACCTCGTAGTATTCATAGTACATTCAGTACCCATAGTCAGCGGATTTGTTACAACTGTGGTTTCTGTGGCCATTTTTTTTTCTTCCAACAAACAGGCCGTATCCCACCAAGGCAGGGTGGCCCAAAAAGAAAAACTAAAGTTTCTCTTTTTAAATTTAGAAATTTATACAGGAGAAAGGGTTACTAGCCTCTTACAACACGAATGGCTTACGGAGGAAGAATTCTGTTCCACTTCCCCATGGAGATAAGAGGAAATAAACAAGAATAAGAACTAGAAAGAAAAGAGAAGAAAACCCAGAGAGGGTGTGTATTTATATGTTTGTACTTGTATGTGTAGTGTGACCTAAGTTTAAGTAGAAGTAGCAAGACGTACCTGAAATCTTGCATGTTTCTTCTTTTTCTTTCAACGTACCAGCCGTATCTCACTGAGGTGGGGTGGCCCAAGAGAAAAAATGTAAGTTTCTCCTTTTAAATTTAGTATGTAATACAGTTGACCCCCGGTATTCGATGCATTTTAACGCAAAAATTTTGCCTCAGTATCCAATCGAAAACCCGGTATCCGATGCGATTCGTACGAGACGTGTCCATGTGTGGCCTGAACTGCCCCGTGTGTGCCAGTGTTTACAAGCCAGGCAGTGTGCACGTATCTAAGGATACATTTGGTACATTCCATATTATCTCTGTTTTTGGTGCTTGTTTCTACAAAATAAGTCACCATGGGCCCCAAGAAAGCTTCTAGTGCCAACCCTTCAAGAAAAAAGGTGCTAATGACTATTGAAACGAAGAAAGAAATAATTGCAAAGTACAAAAGTAGAGTGAGTGTGTCGGAGTTGGCCAGGTTGCATAGTAAACCCCAATCAACCATCTCTACTATAGTGACCAGGAAAACGGCAATCAAGGAAGCTGTTCTTGCAAAAGGTGCAACTGTGATTACGAAACAGTGACCGCAAGTGTTAGAAGATGTTGACTGTTATTGGTGTGGATAAATGAAAAACAGATAGCAGGAGATAGCATCTCTCAAGCGATCATTTGTGAAAA